AACACGAACGGAATCATGGTTTGGGCGTGGATTTGCAACACGCACGGAATGATGGTTTGGGCATGGATGCTCTGGTGACCGTATGCTCTCGGAACACGTGCGGAATTATGGTTTGGGCATGGATGCTGTGGGAAACCGTGCGCAAAGGGGGTGGATGTTGTCATGGTCGCCGCATGGATGCTCAGCGAAAAACGCCATGCATGGTGGCAGCAGTGATTTTGAGGCCAAAGAAGGTCCGAAAGCGCTGTTCGTGCCACGCAGGCCGGTCCCGATGGGCTCAGGGGTAAACGCATTTTTTGCGCGCTTAACGCCCCTAGGTGCCCTTAACAAGAAGTCAAGCGGGCATACACCTGTTTTCACGTGATGCGGGATCAAAGCATACGCTGGGCGAGGGGTGGCACGACTTATGCCTAATCTGGAAGAGGACTGGGTCAGCATAAAAATGCCCAGAAGCTCGGACACAAAGAACATGTGCAAGCACCCAGCTGCAGATAACAGAATAGTACACAAGTGCACAAGCCATACAGAAGTGAATGGGGCAGGCCGAACACTCCAGTCCCACTACGATGCACTGTGGGTGCACTACACACATGGTGTCAGGACTGCGCACCAGAACACAGGATGAACATAGAGTTAACACCGTTCCAAATCTACTGAAGCAGCTTGGTTCACTTCAAGAGGTCAGGCTTCCAGTTCTGCACGTGCCAAGCTTTGAAGCTGAGGATGGAGGCCTATGAGAAGGAAGGTCTCGTGAAGTGCTGCAATGCCTGGTCCCGTGACCAGAAGGAGAAGGTCTATGTTCAGCATAAGATCATGGAGGAAGCTGCCTTGCCCTAAGACCCAAGCGGTTGCGCAAGCCTGAACTCATCAGACGAGATGCAGTTGCTTGCCTTCTAAGGCTGCGATTTGGCAGCATTTGGGCAAGGAGGGCTCCAAAGGATACTTCTTCCTTTGTGGGTCAAAGCAGCCTGAGAAGGACATACGTCTTTGTGCTTGCTTTCAGCGTGTAGGGTGAAATGTAAATTTTGAGTTGATTTCGTGCAAGGACGTCTTTGCAGCTCTCGTAAAAATCATGGAGACGAAGGGAGGCATGGCGCACAGCATCCTGCTGCCCGCTCCCGCCTTCTCCGTGGCAGGTCTCACCAACGAGCAGGCCCACAAGAAGATGGAGACCCTGCAGCTTGCTGGCCGATATGTCGGGGTCTTTGCCATCAAGCATCTGTAAAAGCAGCGCCTGCTACAAACCCGAAGTGAACTAGGTCACGGAAGTCTACTGATCTCGCACGTGAACTCGTGCCTGCCCCCTACAAGCCGTGTTGATTCGAATCTACAGCTTCGGCTCTGTCCGCTGTCGCAAGGTGAGAAGGACAAGAAGGAATTCGTGGCGGCCATTTAGCATCAGTAGTGCCGTTCGTCAGTGCTTGTCGTCCTTCTAGCAACCCTTACGTCACTTAACCACAAAGTAGGGCTGACAAGCAAAAGTTGGCGATGGGTAGCTGCATCTGCAGCGTTTTCCAGGCCAGCCAACTTTCAATCTCGTTGCTCTAGTTGCTAGCATGCTGTAGTCTCCGGTTTTGCATAGAGGGGTCCAGCAGAGTTGCATGAAGCTCACTCCCCCGCTGGAGTTACATGCCCACATAGAGGCGCATGTGAAATTCTTCGGGTCTGCCAAAGTTGGCAGACATCCCGCCATTAAACTGTCCATGGCCTAATCCTGCTGTTCAAGCTTGTCTCAGGGGGCTTTGAAAGCTCCAATTTTTGGAGGCCGTGCTCAGATGTCTGAAAGAGTTGCCAGCACCTTTTTTGACGGATGCATGCAGAGATGAGTCTGCCTATGTTGGTTGTGACATGTTTCATTTGATTGTCCTGACGATGGCGATGCTGATGAGGTGGTTTGGCAATGCTGCAATGTGTCATCACTCATGTTACGGATGCTGCTGGTGAGTACGTCTTGTGGGCTTTGCTGCCACTGCTGGCGGTGGTTGGCCCAGAATGCTGTAATGTTGCTGCGGGATGTTCACATCTTTGTTCCTGAGTTCGCTCGTGTTCTCAGACTTGAGCTTGCTATCCCTATGGTGGTTCACATAAAATCCGATTTGAGACCCGCCAAATCTTCAGTACTGTCGAGGATCAGAGGGCCGGCGGACTACCTGTTTGGAATTTGATTGCCCAACCTGTTCGTAAAGAAATCGATGGTCTTTGGCGGCATCAGATTCTAGATTCCAAACGGAATTGCGAATCGAATGGGGGTCCAGGATTTCTTTTGTAATTACGTTATGGCCCCCCTCCCCCCGCTCTAATCAGGATTCAACATTACTGTTATTCCTGCAGCTTCTTGTGGTGGCTATTGCTGTTGTCATCCTCATGGCCTTGCTGCGGTGCATCTAGGTGGTTCGCTGGCATGATGGCTCAGCAGAGGTCGTGCGTTTGCACCAGAAATTAGTTTCCATTTTCTTTTCCATTATCCCCATATAACCCCAATACTTCCAATATAAACCCTAATATAATCCCAGTATAAACCCTAATATAATCCCTAGAACCCCAATAATATAGTATACAGCCCTATGAGGCATTGGGGCCGCGCAGCCAAGACTTATCTTCGCACACCTTGACACTAGCTTGACCGCAGCATTCATACTTAAAACTGGCATGTCTCTTGGGTTCTATTGGGATAATGGAAAAGAAAATGGAAACTACTATAATGGGTTCTAGTTATATAGGGGTTAAATGCATCTTACGACATCCAACGCAACAAAAAGGTTCCATGACAACCACAACGCACTTGAACGGGCATGCTCTCAATAGATGTTGAGGCTGTCTCTTGGAAGTCACCTGCTGTCCGGGAGGAATGTGGCAAGCATGGCCTGCGGGCGCTTGAGCAGCAGCTGCCGGGGCCTGAAGACGCCTTTGCTTGACGACAGTGACAGTTGAGTTGAATTAAAAGACCATGCCAAGATGGGTGCTACTTCGTCAGCGGAGTCGAGCACCGAGCAAGCCGAACAAGGGAAGAAGAGGACTGCCTGCAGACGCATCACCATGACTCCACCATTTTCAGCATCCCGTGAGCATGAGTACATCGTTTGTATGCAGCTTCAACAGTTGAGCACGCGTCAGGTCGAAGAAGAAAAAGGATGCAGCAAAATTAGCTGGAGCTGGAGAGCCTGAAGTTGAGAATAAAGAGCAGCAGTTGGCCCAGGCACGGTCCTGCAGCCGACGTCTATGCAAAGTTCTTTTCACTTGGGTCCACTCGCAGTCTGCTTGAGGCAAGTCCAGACGCGCTCACGCAGCTACCAGACTGGCCAGAGGTTGACCCTGAGCCTTCCAAAGTTGATGCGGCCAGTGGTCCCAAGCCAACGAAGCTTCGACCTCCAAGCATCGAGAATCTGGACACTTCGCCGACGCCCCCTGGCATCCACTTCGCGGTTGGCGATCCTACCCTTGAGGACGAGGCCTATGACGATTTCCCTGACTTGCCCCCAACGCCACGAGAAAGACAGGAATCCTTTGGAGTTTTTGGCGTGCTGCCAGACGAGAAGACAATAAGGCGGCAAAGTAGTGACGCGTACCGGGTCCTGGGACGAAGTCCGATCAGACCTCCTGGCCATAGCTCCAGCCAGGCGCTTCGAGTGAGACTTTTGCGAGTCCATGCTCCTCAACGGAACACGGGCCTGCCGGGGGATCTCGCGAATTTTTATGTCTTGCTGAGGCTCGGAGCCCAAACTGCTCGAAGCCCCTTTTTGGACAACACCCAGACGGGCATTCAGGATAACGACTTCACATTTCAGCTTTTGGACAGCGTATTGCAGTTTGAGATCATGAGGGTCAGCGCCCTCAGAGACGAGCTGCATTGCAAGGTCCCTGTAGCTTTGGGAAGGCACAACCTCGTGGCTGGCGAGTGGCAGAGGCAGAAGCTGCCAATCCCAGGAGCCGGTGAGATTGAGTTCGAGTTGCTGCTTGGTCATACGATGGCTGAAGTTGCCGCGCAGCGTGGCGTAGAAGCAAAGGGGACACAGAAGCCTGATGGGAGTGAAGATTCAATGCTCGAGTACCAGGTTGGGCCACGTATGTTTCAGCCAAGGGCCAATGCACTGCCCTGGGAGGGTGTTCGAGTCTTGGAGCTAACCCGCGGAACGTGGACAGCTGCTCTATGTGGTCAGATGATGGCGGCATCTGGTGCCGAGGTGATTCGCGTGGCTTTCGGTGAAGAAGCACTTCTCGCGCGGAAGCAGGGCAGTGCTCCGAAGCGGCCTCTGCCAAGGGGTGCTAACAGCCTGGAGCAGGCGCAGGCAAATCAAGTACCCAGGCAGCTGCATGTGGGGAAGCGCCTTGCGCCCCTTCATCCGGATGATCCGGAGGAGATGGCTTTGCTTCGATCAGATCTCTTGAATGGCTGCAACGTCTTTCTGACCGATCTTCCAGCAGATGAGCTGGAAAACATGCAGCTCAGTGCGCAGACTCTACGAAGCAGTTGCCCTTGGTTGACATACATACATACCTCTAGCATTGGAATGCTTGCAGATGTCACGAACAAGGGCGTAAATGATGCAGGCGCCTTCTTCTGCTTGTCCGGCATGGCTGAGCAGCTTGGGCATTTTCTGGGTCCTGCTGGCTTTGCCGCCGCTGTGTCCGCCTCTGCTTTGTTTGGCGTCGCCTGCATGGCCATTATGCGACGACGGTGTGGAAGTCCAGGTGATCGGGTTGAATTGAGCATTTTCCGTGCTGGGCGATGGTGTGCAGCTCTCGGTGCCCTGACGGGTTGGCACAAGCCCCAGCAGCCTGACGTGCGCTTCTTTGTTGAAAGCGATGCTAAAAAGCAGCTTGCAACACCTTTCGACGTCGAAGGAGTGGCCCACATCCGACCGACCAGCAAGCAGTCAGCAGGACCAGACAAAAACTACAGGTGGTCGGTCAAGGACCCATCAGTGTTGATGCCCGAAGTCATGCCAAGCTCTCCAATCTCCTCCGAGCTGCCATTAGCTCGCGTGTCTGTCATTGAGATCAGCGATGAGTACCAAATCTCAGCCTCTGCAGTTGGTGCGCTTCTGGCTGATCTGGGTGCCCGAGTGACAAAGTTGGAGCGGCCACAGAGGCCGGACCCGTGGAAGAGGACTTGTCCCCAGCTGTACCAAGACCTTACAGCAAGGAAGAAAATCAGCTTGGTCAACTACTCTGGAGTGGGAGGTGTAGATGCCAAAGGAGAGCCAGTACCAGGACAAGCGGCCTTGTACCGGACCCTGACCAAGACCACCATCTTACTGACCAATTTGCCACTAGCAGCGCTGGAAGCCTGGGGCCTAGCCCCAAAGAAGCTGCAAGAGATGTTCCCGCATCTGATCATCCTTTGGATCACGACTTGGGGCTATGATGAGATGGCGCGGCACAAGGAGCTTGCCTTTGGTCGCAAGGGTGGCCAAGAAGCCCATGCCTTCTGGGAGGCGAGTGGGCTTTGCCAGTCCTTCAACGGCAACGCAATCCCGCCAGGCCTTGGCGAATTGGCAGTGGCCCAGCATGCCCTGGGCGGCGTGGGCCTCGCCTTGCTCCGACAGCAGCGCACAGGTGGAGGGCAGCTGGTTCATGTCAGCCGATACCGTGCAGGGCTCTACTGCCAGAGCATCTCCAGCATTGAGCCAGTGATGCCCCTTGCAAGTCCTTTGCTGCAAACCTTGGACGGCCGCTTTCTGCGCCTGCTGGGACGAGGACCTTCTCTAAAGTGCGTAGGGACTGACAGGTACCAGTCAGTCAAGGACTTGACTCAGAGCCTTCTTGCAGGACACCAGCCCCATGATGCGTGGGTGCTTCTTCATGCAATCGGCCGCAGGGAGAGTCTGGTGAAGCAAGCTGAAGGCAACTGGATCTCTATTCTTTTGATAATATGGGTCCCAAAAGATAGTTGGGGCTTCCTATTCTAATACAATACAGGTAAATCTCCCCCATTTTGGGAAGTAATTTATTAGACCAAGTCCCATGCGCATCGCAGTTTTGCATTGAGGTATTTCCCGTACGGTCATGTCTTACTGCTCGCCAGTGGAGGAAGCATGGACAAGATGCGGGAGAAGCTTCAGGGATTTACCTGGGAGGCTTTGGACTTGGATTCATATACCTAAAATCTTGCACATTCCCCTCGAGCTTGGCAGGATCTGCAAAAGCACCAGGATGAACTCTTGGCTTGTGCCCGAAACTGGAGCTTCCAGGACTGGCAACTGCTGTGCCTGCTGGGGTCCGTCCTGTGCTCCTTCCTGCCTGAAAGGACCTGGTAAGGGCCTTCCAGGCAACGTGTTCTGGCCTTGGATGCTGCGATTTGAGGCATTGTCATTCCACAATGCAGGAGAAAGGCATTGACTGGATAGTGGAGGAGCTGCGGCCACTGGATGCTGAAGCCCTCCACAGGCCAAGTGGGTCCCATTGCAAGGGTTGTGAGTCAGGCCCGTAGGGAGCACTGAGTCGCAGGTCTCCAGTGACCTTGCCGCAACAAGCTGGCTCAAACGCGCATTTTTGGCCTGCCTTCGGCGGCTTCGGCTTTCATGGCAGCTTCTGGACGGGAAAGATCGCGATCTCCACCTCCAACAGCTGCTGGCACACGCGTAAAGGCAAGACACTTCAGCGATGGTTTCTGCTAGGCCCAGAATTTGTTTTGGCAATGCAAGCGACAGAACTGCAGTGAGTGCTTGCGGAAGGCATGTCCAATTTCAAGGTGTGAAAGCTTTGGCAGATGCTGCATGCAGGAGATAAAAGTCATTGGAGACAGCCGGGTTCTGATTGCCCCGGGTCTTCTTGAAGAAATCCCTTCGAGACTGCAATCTGCTGGCCTGAAGCCAGCGGCACTCGATCCGAGCTCAGAAGTGCTTCAACTAAGAGAAGTGTGACTTAAGGATACGCATGCTCTGAAGAGGAACCCGTTTGGTGAGGTTGTTGTGAGCGACAAGACCGTAGACAGAGCTGCCCTCAGCCAGTTGTTGCTGAGAGAAAGCAGTGGAGAAGCATGCGCTCAAGATTCATTTTTTTTGTACGAATCATGGGAGAAATTGCAGGTCACTATGGCGATCGCCTGGTCAAAGCGTTCGAGACACATGCATCTCAAAATGGAGGTGGTCCGCGGATCTTGAGGTATGCTTTCCCGTCTGGTGAGTCATCTAAAAACCGCGAGACAAAGTCTGCGATAGAGGCGGGTTTTGAAATTGTGCCAATCTGCAAATCCTGAATGCTTTCTTTCCCGAACTCAGTTTGATACATGTAGGTGTTGAGATGAAACTGCAGGACTACATGCTCTCGAACAAGTGCACACGGGACTCCGCCATTCTGGCGCTGGGTGGCGGGGTTGTGGGTGACCTTGCTGGCTTCACTGCCGCGACGTACATGCGAGGTATTCCAGTTGTCCAGGTTCCAACGTCAACAATGGCAATGATTGACTCCAGCGTAGGAGGCAAGACAGCCTTGAACGTTCCTGCTGGAAAGAACCTCATAGGGGCCTTCCACCAGCCCAAGATAATTTTTGCGGACCCAAGCATGCTGGGCACGCTGAGTCGTCGAGAGGTTGTGGAGGGATTAGCGGAAGCAATCAAGATGGGGGTTATCCGAGATGCCGCGCTTTTCCAAACGATGGCAAAGCATCCGGAGGCGATCATGTCCCTGGACGCACAGCTTCTGCAGGATGTGCTGCACAAGGCCGTGGCGCACAAGGCCGAAATCGTCGCGATCGATGAGAAAGAGACAGGCCTGAGAGCAACGCTGAATTACGGGCACACAATTGGTCATGCCATTGAGGCCCTAGTCTCGCCCAAGATGCTCCATGGAGAGTGTGTGGCAATAGGATGCGTGGCCGAGGCTGAGCTCGCCCACAAGATGGGGCACCTGAGTGCCGAGGCAATTCCTGAAATCCGCGCCTGCTTCCAGGCCTACGGCCTTCCAGTAGCGCCACCACCAGGCCTCACGCTGGAGAAGCTGATGGAGAAAATGGCAGTTGACAAGAAAAATCAGGGGAAGACCATTCGGTGTACCATTATTACTTCTGTTGGCTCCAGCGTCGACCATCCTTTGCCGGTGCCGCGTGAGCAGATGGAGCTTGTGGTTTCCGAAATGTTGAAGAACCCCGCAGTCCCTCCTCATGGATGGTAGGGCCTGCAAAACGTCTGTAGGCTGTTGCTCCAAAGATGTGCAAAGAGATGTTCTCCAAACTGCTTTTCCCCGGCGGTGTGAAGAAAGACTTGAGCAGCAAAGCACAGCATGTTTTCCAGCGTTCACCCCCCTGTTACAGCAGAGACCTGTGCCTCTGTGAGACTATTTTCCAGGCAGCGTGCAGAGCAAGTGGACACTTTGCGCCAGCGGCAGCAAGATGCAGCCGAGAAAGCTCTGGAAATGGTAACTGGGACAAAAGATCTTTGACCGTTCAATCCCATCGGTCTGGGAGAACAAAGTAATTAAGTGGCTGAACCTAGGCCCAGCGATCAGTTGAGCTGCAGCATCTCGGACGCAGGGTCAACACGGAGAGCTCTGAGTTTTTGATTCGTTGGCCAAGGCGAGATTTATCCGATTCCAAGGGCCATGCCCATCAGGAGCTTCAGGAGCAGCCCCTGCCTGAAGTTATCAAGTCAGGCGCTTCATGGTATCAGGCGAAAAGCGAAAAATCACCAAGGCTAGTGGAACAAACGGAGCAGCAACGCAAGATGGAGCTTTTGCGGGAGCAGTACCAGATGGGAGTGCTTTGGCTTTCCCTATCTGTCTACCTGACGCTTGAAACGGATTTTGAGTCTGGTACGCTGCAGCACAGGTAACGCCCATTGTTGGCGTGACGGTTGATGGTGCCGAAGGCATCGCAGAGACAGAGAGAGGTTTGGATAGCACAAGCCCTTTACACCACAGTCTCGCTGAGGGAGTTGTTTCTCACCAGCAGTTCGGCCCTACACGGGCTGGGCAGGACGCCCGGGGAGGCCCAACCAGGGTCTCTCCAGAACCCAAACGAAAGAAAGAATAGAGACTGTGCATTCCTCCTCTGGCCAATGTGGAGGGCCTTGCTTTCAGTTCCACAGCCAGCTGAAGGTAGGGGATTGCGTGAGCATGTAAGGGGTACTAGACATTTAGTTGACGTGCTGGGTGGCGCAATCGTCCTTGGGCTGACTGGACGGCTGCGAGGACGCTCTGGGGCTCGGGGGTCCCAACTCCCCTGTAAGGTGGGGGGGCGTAGCCCGCAGAAGAAGAAGAAGGGTTTGCCGCTTAGGGTTTAGGAGTGGACTTCGGACCGTGTGCGGGGGTCGGGGCCTAGCCCCAGCAGGGCCTTCGGGTTCTGCATACCCCGTAGAAGAAGAGTGTGTGCTTTACAGTGATGAACAGGACTGCGTACCTTCGGTACCCCAGGCCTCGTACCCTGGCCCTCCCAAGCCGGGGGGGTTTAGCAGTGAGAAGAAGAAGAAGAAGCGAGAGCTAATCACTTGTAAACTTGCAGTGCCTCAAGTTTCTACGGCCTCCAGCGTGCTTGACCTGAATCGATGCTTTCCATGCACCTGTGCATCAGGGATCGAAAGTGAGACCATGGGCAGCAACATTGACACGTGCCGCAGTCTTTCTGCACCTGCCTGTTTGCATGGTACGGAGTGATCAGCGCAGTAGGCGCGCGGATGCGGTTGCACAAATTGCGCTGCAAATTGAGGTACTGCGTCGTTGAGGTGGCGAACAAACCTTACACCAGAATGCAAACAGGTGTCCTCCAGGCAGCCTTCCGCAAAGCCTATGAATTCATCTTAAACGGTACTTCCTTGCCCGCTTTCCAGGGTGCACAGCCAGCGTGGGATTACACGGGCGTGGTGCAAGACTTTGCATTTGGGGATGTCCTGAAGTTCGCCGTCTACAGAAAGGACCTGGGTGTGCTCCGAGTCAGTATGGCATTGTATCAGTACATGTCCAACCGCAAGTTTCAACCGTCGGCCGACTCTTGGCAATAAACGTAACACGAAGGCAGCTCTGGCCCAGGCTTCCCAAAACGGTGTCGGCGTTGACTTGCTGCCATGGCTCGGCGGGGATTGTTGGTTC